GGGGGGGGGGAGAAAGGAGGAAGAACAAGAGGATGAACAGTAGTAGTACTAGTAGTAGTAGTCGTCGTAGTAGTAGTCGTTGTAGTAGGAGCAGGGGAGGAGGCGAAGGCGTTTCGGGCCAAGTCCTTGGTAAGAAGGTTGGTCGACGACAACGTTTCGTACTCCTCTGCCTGGTGACGAACGACGCCCGACGACTCGGCGACGAGCCAGCCCTTTGGCGAGCAGGTGGTGGCGACGGCAATATCTTGTCTTCTCGCTGGGATATGCCAACGGTGAAGTTGGCTAGAGAACCGAAACACAGATCCCGCAAAAAAATAGTAGCTTCTTTGCAGTTTCCGGGATGCGGATCGAACGCTAGGCCTCTCGAACGACTTGAGTTCCCAGCATCCCACGTGTGATCCCAAAAAAAATCTTATCCAGCGGCCTAGCTCAGTTGGTAAGGCATGCAAGTGGCATTCAGGAGGGCTTGGGTTCAATCCCCATTGGCCTCGTGTACCTTCCTGGGCAAGCTTGGCGCCCACCACCTAGAGATATGCCGTTGGTTCCCCTGAGTGGCATTGAGCACAGACTGCTGATGCTCATAGGGGGTGGGGACCGGAGGGGAGGCACAGTGACTGGTCCATCGAAGCATCTCGGTCCTGAAGCCACCAGGCTGACCCCTGGCCGGTATCACCCACCTGCTGTAGCGGTATCGCACCTGCTGGTGGGTGCAGCTCCCGCATGTTCCCTCGTTGGAGGCTTGAGCAGGGATGTGGCTGCTACCGGGTTCCCCGGAATACTATAGTGACAATACAAAAGGCCTGAAAGACCGTCCTGTCCAGATTCGACAGGTAACTGAATTGGTTGGGCGGTTGTTCTTCTAAAAATAATAATAATAATAATAAAAAAAAAGTAGCGTTTTTTTTTTTTTATAGCTTTTTTTCTTTTTCTTCTTCATTTGTTTTTGGGTTGGTCGGGTGGGGGGGACCCTCGTCTCGCGCTCCGCCAGTTGGCTAAAAGCGTGCATGGATGCGCCAAACGCTGCCCCGTCCCCCCTCCCCCCCACCCTTACCCTTTGGCCATTCCTCTTCTTTTATTTTATTTTCTTGACAAGAGCCACACCCTCACCCCTGCCAGTTCCCAAGCAACATCCCGCGGTAAGGCATGCAAGTGGCATTCAGGAGGTCTTGGGTTCAATTCCCATTGGGCCCCCATTGGCCTCGTGTATCTTCCTGCGCAAGATTGGTGCCCACCGCCTAAAGATAGGCCGTTGGTCCTCCCGAACAGCATTAAGCAGACTGCTGATGTTCGTAGGGGGAGGGGACCGGAGGAGAGGCCCAAAGAAGAAGCTCGGTCCTGATGCTACCGGCTGACCCCTGGCCAGTATAGCCCACCTGCAGGTCAGGAGCAACAGCCCCCGCATGTTCCCTCCTTGGCTGCTACGGGCTTCCCCATAATACTATAATGATAAATAAAAAGGGCCTGAAAGGCCATCCTGTCCAGATTTGACAGGCAGTTGAATTGGTTGGGCTTAAAGGAATTAGTTCAATTAGCCTTTAAAAAAAAAGAAAAAGGTTTCCCAAGCACTACCCCCTCACCGACCCCAGCTCGCTCAAGCGTGTCCTCTTCGTCCCACACCCCTTCCATTCTGGGGAGCAGCTGTCAAGCTCACTTGCCGCTGACAGGAGAAAAAGTTTAAGGCTGACAAGAGAAAAAGTTTAAGGATATGGGGCCTCGCTCCACTACCTGCCAATTGTGCAAAATGAGAATGAATCTGCCGCTGGAAGATGGAAAGAAGAGGATGAGCAGGAGGCACAGAGGCTGGTAGTGGAAAGATACACAGCCGTAAATAATTTCTCTCTTTTGTGTATGTGGTGAGCAGTGGGCCGGCGTCTTCATACCTCTCATGCACACGCACACTCCTACCAAGATAGAGGCATTAGACTCCCTAGATCCCCTCAGACTTTCTCATACTTTCTCATACATCTCTCATACATTCTCAGACCTTTTTTTGTTGGGACGCTGGACCCGTTTTCCATCAGGTGATGCTTCCCACCAATAGATGGAGCCTCTCCCTAGGTGTTAGTGGTGTCTGCTCTTATCAGCAGCACTAACACTGGCGGGGGTGTGTATTCATTTAAAAAAAAAAAAAAAAAAAAAAAAAAGAGGCATTATGTTCCATGGATTGTAAGAGCATCACCAAGATCGAGGCTTTGCTTCGATAGGTGGCTCAATTTTTCTATTCCTGGGTATTTTCTTAAAAAGGAAGGAGAGAAAGGGGGAGAAAAGAGTGAAAGCACGAGCCTTTTTTTTTTTTTTTTTTTTTTTCGTGGGGAGCAGCACGTGCTGGGAACCGGGCCCAGCCTGATTGACCTCCAATTTAATTACTTAGTTCACAAAACCCCAGCATGCCAGGGGCCAAGTCCGGCTTGACACCAATGGGCGTAGCTCAGTTGGTAGTAACTTGGTACACCCATGAACTGCTGAAAAATACCGACCGGAGTTCGAATCCTGATGCAATTGGATGAGCAGAATAATGTAATTCTGAATAACCTGAGAAAAAAAGTCTCACTTGGCCAGATCATTCATTTCTGGCCATTGATCGGCATAGTAATCTATGGTCGGAAATGGGGAATTATAGTAAGTGGGACTTGGCCCTGGGGCTAAGTCCCACTAGCAGGAGTTTAGACGTCCTTTCAAGTATGCCCTGGTTCCTGCCGTCCGATCTTTGAACATCTAAAGGCCACATTGTGGCCACATCGAAAAACACTAGAAAACAAGACTAAACCCCCACTAGTGGGACTTAGCCCCCGGGCGTGCTCAATTCCTTCCCCTCTAAACCCCCACTAGTGGGACTTAACCCCCGGGCGTGCTCAATTCCTTCCCCCCCCCCTCTCTTTTATATTATCTGGGGGCTGCCTTGAGATCCACTAGTGGGACTTAGCCCCTGGGCGTGCTCAATTCCTTCCCCCCTCCCCCCTTTATACTATCTGGAGGCTGCCTTGATATGTCATAATTGAACTGACCGGCCCCAGGTAATTTAGGTCACCTGATTGTATCTGGATTCGAACTTGGGTCTGCCTGTATTTCGTGGGTGAACCAACTGAGCTAGGCCCCCGTTGGTGTGCTCAATTCTTTTTTCTTTGGTTAAAAAGAAACCCACACATGTATTCCTCATTAGAAAAGGTGGCTGTCCTCCCCACATAAAGACCGGACCGGGAGCATTACCCAGCTTCGCTTATATCTGAGCACAACCCATCTTAACGAACCTACTTAAGAACCAAAACACCCAACCCCTCACATCCCTTCCCCAGACACCCCGAAACCATCCACCACCACTTCTACCTTTTTTTTTTTTCCAAAACTCAAAAAATGCCCGCTGGGGTCTACTATAAGGAGGTGATATGAGCACGCTCTCCTAGTAGGCCCATTGCCAGCCGCTCCATCTATTGGTGGGGAGCTTCACCTTCTGGAAACAGGGTCCAGCATCCTACCTATCCCCTTGAACTGAGCAGAAGCCATTCCCTCTAATCCTATCCCGTACTGTCTAAGCTGTCCCACTCAATCACCCACCCCGCTAGTACCCTCCCCACTTATTTGGATTTCTCACCCCACCCCACCTCACCCCAACCCTACCCAACCCTATCCTTCACACAGGGCTTAACCCAGGCCCCCGAGCCGAATGTGGCTCAGCTTCTACACTGTCCTCTCCTGGACCCCAGCCTTTCGCTTTGGGTGTCCAATGGCCCTCCTGCGGGCATATCAACCAAGAGGGCATGTTATAACCTCTATTCTACTATCGACCCCACTACCCCACTACCCCCACTACCCCCTTTCCCCTCTTGACTGCCTTTAACCCACTCCGTTGTTTAACAGGGGGCCAGAACCAGCTAGCCCTCCACAGTACTAACTGCCGCTAGTTGGTTGCCCCGAGCCCAGGTGAAGAGAAGCCACCTCCGATCTTTAGCAGAATGTCCCCTGTTTGCTGTCCTGCACCAGTCAGCCATGACCACAGTACACATCAGAAATTTTACCTTGTTCTTTTTTTTTTCTTTTTTTCTTTTTTTCTTTTTCTTTTTCTTTTTCTTTTAATGCAACAGAACCCGAGTGGCTGCTAGGGGTCCTGATAGGAGCAGACACCACTAGCAGCTTCAGGGTGGCTCCATCTATTGGTAAGGAGCAGCACCTGCTGGAAATCGGGTCCAGCGTCTCTTCATTGCCTGGTGTGCTGACCACTCCTGCTGAAACACAACGCTGTTCCTGTCCTGCCAGATAACCCACACATGATAGATGACCTTACAGCTTGTGGCATGTATCCCCAGCCGCTTTTCCTGAAGAACATGGCCGGAAGTATGCGAGTGAGGATCCAGCTCTGGTCGTATGTTATGGCGGACCCCCGAGCGCACACCATCTCAGGATGCATTTGGGGACCAGGCAGTCCCACACCATGTGGAATGAAATCTCCACCTCCCTGCTACCGCAGCGCTGACATGTCACTTGGATGTCCATGCCTTTACTTACTAACCATGCACCAGATGGACTGGACTGGCAGAGTGTGACAGGAGCCAAAGGAGACCTGCTAGGCTTAGCCTGGGTAACAGGGGGAGTGGGGACCACAGGTCCCAAAACGCCTGCTGAGAAGGGGGCCAGGACAGATTTAGCTTTCAGGCCGCTCTTTCCCTGATTTCGTCCAAGGAGGGGTTTGAAGAGCTCTGAATTTTCCTACCCTGCTTGGAGTTGTACTGGGGCCCAAGCACTTAGAGCCCCCTTGGCCCTTGTTGTCCCACCAGACATACCTTCAAGTTGTCGGATCCAGTCCCAGATCGAGAACGGCACCTCCTCCTTGGATCAGTGTGTAGGGGCTCTGAGTCTGACCTTTCACCATCGGGGACTTGATCACCCTGACTGTTTCCAGGGCCCGGGCTGGGCCCAGTGCCGCTTCCTTTTTTTTTTTTTTTTTTTTTTTAACACACTCCCCCACCAGTGCTAGTGGTGCGGATATGGGCAGACACCGCTAGCACTTGGGGAGAAGGCTCCGTCTATTGGTGGGGAGCATCACCTGCTGGAAAACGGGTCTAGCGTCCCTTATACAGATTGAAATCGGAGTACATCAGAGAACAGTTTGGGGGATGCCACACGTGCTGGTGGATGTCCACAGCATAGAAGCCGGGGCTAGGTCCCACTTACATGAATTAAGCGATACTGACCGTAGATAGCAAAGATCAACCGCCAGAATCTCTTAATCCGTGCAAGTGGGACCTTGCCCCCGGAGTGCTTAGATGAGGGAGCGGGGGTTCTCCAGGGGAAACTCAATTCACCGGGGACAATGAGAAAGGAAGGGCTTCCTGAGAAGAAAAAAGAAGAAAAAGAAAAGGGAAGAAATAAAGAGACTCTTCTTTCTTTTTTCTAAGTATAGGTTGAAGGCACTGCTTCAGGAGGTGGTAAGAGCACCCTGCAAAGGGGAAACATCGAAAAGGGAGGAGGAGGAAGGGAAGGGGGAAAAAAACAAAAAGACTGAAAGAGAGATGTCAGGAGATCTTGAATGCACAACCTCTGAATGATTTTGTGAGGCAATTAAAAAAAAAAAAAAAAAAAAAAAAAAAAAAAAAAAAAAAAAATATTTTTTTTTTTTTTTTTTTTTTTTTTTTTTTTTTTTTTTTTTTTTTTTTTTTTTTTTTTTTAAAAACACCCCCACCAGTGTTAGTGGTGCTGATAAGAGCAGACACCACTAGCACCTGGGGAGAGGCTCCATCTATTGGTGGGGAGCACACCTGCTGGAAAACGGGTCCAGCGTCCCATATACAGACTGAAATTAGAGGACATCAGAACACAACTGTGGGATGTTCCTGCCAGCATTGATTACCCTGGGATCCAGGGGATTGACTGAGCAGGATATTGGGAGGAAGGGGGAACCTCTTCACCCTAATCTGGTGCCAGGTACATCACTACACACTAGTTCCTCCCTTCTCCTGAGCCATATTGAGTCATACTGCTAGCTGGAAACTGGGTCCAGCGTCCCATGGCCTGCCTGGGTGCCAGGCAGAGAAGAAGAGCGTTTGAGAATGTTTGAGAAAGTCTGAGAAGGGGAATGAGAGATTGACTGAGCAGGGTATTGGAGTGGGGGGGGGGGCCTTCACCATGTAGTCGGCGCCGGATACACCTCTACCTGCTGCTAGTCTCATTCCCTAATGTTCCAGCGAGTACTGCAGGTACTGGGGGCCAGTCCTCCCATCCATATCTTAGGTGGACCGGCCAGGTGTGAGGAGGGATGGGGAGGCAGGTTCTGCGCCCGGGGGGCGACCGAGCAGAGACCTAATCCTCCTATTCCCTGTCTCCCTCCTGGCCGGTCCCATCGGGATTGTGATGGGTGGGCACCACCCTCTCTCGGCCATACCAACTCAGCTCAACTGAAGTGTTATGTGATAGGGGGAAAGGATCCGGGAATTCAGAGGCCGGGGGTAGTGGGATGTCACTGGGGATCTCAGTCCATTTGTGGAAGAGAAGTCGATAGTCCTTCTGAGTTTTCTCCAAGCGATCGTTGCCATCCAAAAGCCAGCCATCCCATTGTATCCATGCAATCCGTCCCCCCTGTTCCCCCCCTAACCAGTCCATGCAGAATTCGTTTAATCTTTGCGTAATGTCCGATCTTTTTGTGAGAGCTCTCATCCCGTGAACTGTCTTTTTCCACCGAGCTCTAATTGTTGTTTCAATCATGTCTTTGATCATTTCAGTTGTTTCACCGCTACCAACGTGGGCATTTTCAAGTGCTAAGATACATCTGCGACGCCATATAGCCCATAGCACAACTTCCCTCCCAAGCCTGAATAGGTTGGTTGTGAAGGTCGAAGTTTGAGCGGTCCAGGACCCGGTTAGCAGGGCCCTCCATTCCCATGGCCAGCTTCTGTCAGTGCCCAGTTGGTTCCAGACCCGGACCCATCCTCGCCATGTTAGAATAGAAGCAGGGCACTGCAGGAAGAGGTGTTCTATCGTCTCATTAATTTTCCGAGAGGGGAAGCCCTCCTTGCATGCATGGCACCAGGGGAGAGCGATCCCTTTCTGCTCGAGATGGGTGTGATCAATAAGCCATGCATTCGTCGAAAGGCAGCGATGGTTGATCTGCCATTGAAGCGAAGCGAACTTGGCTGGTTTCCTCTTCACCTCTTTGAACCATTTAATAGGTCTTAGAGATTCCAATGGTACATTGAGGTGTCGTGCCCAGCGGTCTACGTTGCGATCCCTTAATTTTATTATAGTCCTGAGCATTCGATAGGTCGCTTTCACATCAAGTGTATGGAGGTACCGGTGTCTGGATGTTCCATTGCTTGTTGAAATCTTCCATCTCCACTCTGCTACATCAATGGGAAGATCCTGGATTGGCACTTCGGGCCAGAAAACCACCCAGGATTCATTTGCACTTAGGACTCTTACTCTGTGGAGTATCTTGGCATCTATCCAGAAGACTTCGTCAGGCTCACCCCTGATCAACTTATTTTGCGGAGTACGGTAAAACAGGTTTACCAG